AACAGGAAAATAACAACTATGATGTGAAATAATTTCAATCAAAAATAAATTGTCTGTGAATATGTTATCAACCGGGTGTGTTTTTTCTTTTCTTCGTGTTATTATATCAGTGTAACGGGGAAAAAACATAAAGCTTTAGCTGTTAGTGAGAAAACAGAAGAAACACAAATGGTTTTGCAGGTGGAGGACACGTTTCCCTCGTCTTTTTGGACAGTTTCTTCTCATTTAGCTGGAGTCAGAGTCACTGCTGCTTGCATGAGATGATACCTGGACCCCACAGAGGTTTGCCTGAACCCCATTTATTCTTCTCTGGTGTATCTCTTCAGCCTTTTTCTCAGCGCTTGCAGCCTTCGTTTGGTAGCATCTAGAGCCTGTGTTATGGACAGCTTGCTGTACCTCATTTTGACACCCTTCTGCAACTCGCATCAACATCTTTCCAGCCTTTGTCTTCCTCTGCTTGCATCCTTGATCTTATACCCAAGTGGTTGTAGAGCAGTAGTGGTTTCAGTGATGCTGGTAGTGGCGATGGAGCACAGGGCAGTGTTGCAAACATCTCCTGTGTTGAGACGAGCTGGGGACTCGTTCTCTGTCTCGAGTCCAGCCACACTCTTCATGCTCAGATGCATCTGTCATTGGTTTAGCTGCACTGCTCTTGTCTACCTGGGTTGGCTCATTACTTCCATATTGCTCCATACTGTACTTCAGCCTATGGATCTCCAGAGAAGCTGGAGATCCATAGGCTGAAGTATATTCCTTTATGGAATATGTTTTGTTAAAAATTGTAAGTGAGCAAACTTACAGGTAATTATTTGCCCAGTGTTTGATGGAGGACTTGCTCTTTTGTTCGAGGTCTCTCTACGCTCCTCACTTCAAGCGTTTGGCCTACTGCTGTCCCTGCAGCCTACTTTAAAATGCAGTGGAGCAGAAAACAATGCAATAAATACAGATAAAGAATATCGTTCACCAAGCACACTTTATTGACTCGATTCATGAGGAAGTCAGAGGAATTCTGGGACAGCTATAACCACAATCTGCCTTCATATTAAATAGAGGAAACACTCACTGCATGAGATTACAGATTGGATTTCCATATCAAACAAACATTGTGAAGAAAAACGTCACACTGGTGAAACTGCACACAAAAAAACACATTCAAAATGACTAAAATGAATTAAACACAAGCTCCCTGGCAGCAGAACAGCCACTGCAGTCAAATCGTCATTATTTCAGACTCCGCTCTTTAATTAAAAATAAATACCATCAGTGTAACACGATGCAGTTTGATAACAGACTGAATGCAAACATATCAAGCACGATGCTGGCTACTTGGGCCGTTGTAATGGCCTCTTACATTTCCTCCAGCAATTCCATATTTCAAAAACTCCAAAACGTTAGGAACTATTTTTTTCCAATCTTAAATAAATAGAAAACCATTCGGGATACTGGAATGCTGCCATCTTCGGTGGAAAGATGGCAAAAAAAAAAAAAGCTCTTCCAGATCACAGCTCCCATAGCAAACATTGATAGTAGATTTGAAGCCTGCTGCTCACACAGGTTAGACAAATGAGTCCTCAGGAGTAAAATTTACTGTTGTTTATCTTCTTTTCCTTTGACCTGGAGAGAAAGACGGACAGATTGAGAGCAGAGAGTAACAAGTATCACAAATCAGTTGTCACATATTGCAGTATATGTACATATACTGCAGTATATGTGCATATACTGCAATATGTGACAACTGATTTGTGATATGCACATATTGCAGTATATCCACATAGTGCAGTATATCCACATAGTGCAGTATATCCACATAGTGCAATATATGCACATATACTGCAATATATGCACATATACTGCAATATATGCACATATACTGCAATATATGCACATAGTGCAGTATACGCACATAGTGCAGTATACGCACATAGTGCAGTATACGCACATAGTGCAGTATATCCACATAGTGCAGTATATCCACATACTGCAATATATGCACATATACTGCAATATATGCACATATACTGCAATATATCCACATAGTGCAGTATACGCACATAGTGCAGTATATGCACACATATTGCAGTATATGCACACATATTGCAGTATATGTACATATTGCAGTATATGTACATAGTGCAGTATATGCACATAGTGCAGTATGCACCATTAAATGCAAATTAGATAATCCACTAAAAAGCTGTTTTATGGATGGAATTTCCTAATCAGTTTATTCTGAGCTCGCCACTGAAATTTGGAAGCTGTGGCAGCCTAAGGACCTCAACTGAAGTGAAGCAGGCCATCCGCTGACGGCAATGAAATTAGTCTGATAGATATGCGGGATGTTAGCGGCAGCAAAATCAACCAAAATATCACTAAGCTTGGCAAAAGACCCAAAGACGACAGCAGCGGACGAACGGGGTCCTTTCTGTGAATAAACTGTCGCTGCTAGAGTATTCCTGCACTTTTCAGACTTACCTTGGATTTTCACCAGTGCTGCCCTTCCTCATGAGGTTGTTGGTGGGCTGAGCCAGGGAGGATCGCTGAAGGTTGCTGTGCGTGTCGTACAGGAAGGGTTCGCCCAGCTCTGCCTGCTTCTTCTTCAGCTGGCTGGAAGACGAGTACAGCTCCTCCTCCGCTTTCTGAATGATATGTGCGAGTCAGGAGATCACAGAAATCCCGCCACAGTGACATAAACGTCGATGCGCTCCCGGTGCGTTACTCACCCCGGCCTGCTGCACACTGATGTAGACCAGAAGAGAAGCTAGCTCCAAGTCTTCACTGTAGCCGTTCTTTAGAGGGACAGAGCGGTAACCTGTGGAAGCAAACCCAAAACAGTTCATTTTCTTCATTTATTCATATCACCTTGATTTGTGTTATAACCTGATTCATTCGTGGCATCATGCTGTTTTCGACTTTTAAAATCACTTTTAAAAATTAAATTTTTTTTAAAATTTTAAGCAGTAACGATGGACCTAGTTTAGTTTCTACAGAAATACAAAAAAACGTTGTTTTCAACATGACTGTATGAGTTGTGTTCCCTCTAAACTTAAAAGGTCTTAAAATGAGTCACAACCTAATTTCACTTCCAAATGAGGTCACTTCAGTGTGCGGTGTCAGTCTTTTGTGGAATTTCAAAATACTAAAGCCCGCTAAAATTAGATATTAAAGCTGCGTCACACTCAGAGTGGAAACTCCCCGATTACGAAGAATCTAAAAGTTTACATTAAAGTCGTTGGCCAGGATACAAGAGACATGAGCCAGCCACTGTCTAATATTACTTAAATATCAAATGATTCAGAATTGCTTCACCTCTTATCTGTTTCATTATTTCTAATTTGAGAAGTGGAGTGTCTCTTCTTATTAAAATATGAGCCCCATACAAGAAAGTTAATACAGCAAAAGCGAGAAAACTGGTGAACAAGGAAATTAACTTGAGCTCCACATGATACAGTTCGATTATTTTTGC